GACAAAGATACAAACATGTATCAAATAAATCTGCTCACCTGCAATTTATAATGGCGCATTGTAGTCACCTTCGTGCACGAAAGTTCGTTCAATCTCAGCTGTTAGTTATTAGTTAGTCAGTTATGTCAGTTATTGATGGTTTTATATGCTCCTGAAATTAAGTGCTGCTTGACGAGCCTATACAGTATTGTGTTCATAATTTGTGACGTCACTGAAGGCCTAAGGTTGAAATGCACGGCCCGCCACTGTATTGGGAACATGCACATAAGGAAACTGTGGCCTAAAGGTGTGGATGTGACCTCGTAGGAGGTCACGCAGACCAGGTACAACCTTGAGATATGCAGGGATTTAAACCTAGCAGAACTTGGATTTCATCGAATTGATGTCATTCATCGCATACAAGCTAAGGCTGGGATTCTAACTGTTAAGGAAAACTTTTTCAAAGTAGATATCCAAACATATTTTGCATTTTATGACCAGACAGGGAAGCATAAACTGTGGACTGGTCACGAAAGCTGTCAATTTGTCGCACAAAAATGTTATATATAGGGAAGGATTTACAGCTCTATTCCGTAGAGACAAACGGCATTTAGCAAGTTGGGATGCGATCTCACATCCCTTATGATAATAACAATCCTGATATTAGGTTTCCGGAATAATCTGGATAGGGGTGGATCTCACAAACGTAGAAAACGATAAGATCTTTTGCACAAAAAAGGTCATTGACAAGACAAAAACGGAAGTACAGCAAACTACACTGGTGACAAAGAAACAGGACAAAACGAGACAAACCAAAAACGCTTGCAAAAGGCAAGGAGCGAGAAAAACGTATATATATATATATATATATATATATATAAAAAGCACTCAAGTGAAAGTCGGGATGAAGATTTTCAAGTTGGGTCTCGCCGACGTGGGGCGATCACGGCGAGAGTCGCTGGTAAGCCCAGCAGCTTTCACCACTCCGCTGATGCTCACCCAGCTCGGCGTCGGTGGCCACTTTGGTGAAGACGATGCGATCGTGCAGCCTGTTGGTTTGGCCCTGCCAGAACTCGATCAGATGGGGTTTCACCACGTAGCCCCCCCTGGTGGACGACAGAAGAATACAGCTGTAGGAACGGGACCTTCAGGTTTTATCTTTGGAAATGTCAAGTCAAGCAAGGGGAAGGAAATGTCACTACAGAATGTCATTTCTATCGAAAGAAAGCGGGGAGGGGGGTAAAATTTCTCAATTTGGTCATTTCATTGTGAAAACACTCACCAGTAGTCTGGCATCGGCACTTGTGTGTCCTTATACTTCTCCTCGAGCTCCGCATTTTTCTCCCTCAGGAACTAAAGAGATGCCATCAACAAGTGAACGTTTCAAAGAGGTTCGGCCTGACATATTTAACTGTGAACATGCAACAAACTCTTTGTTGAGAAAAGACAATCCATACTGTCCCCTCCCCACCATACGGGTCCATAGGCGCTTCATCATTGTTAATTGCTACGAAGTAAGAAATTGTGACAGCGCCAAGTAACTCTAGCCACATTGCTTCCCTGAGAAAAGTAAGATTCGTTGTTACGGTAAAAAAAAATGGATATGTTTGAGCAACGCGTTAGCGCCATCACTCTTCATATGTATCGGCAGGCTGCGGTTCTTCTTACCGCTCTATTGGGAACCGGCATGCTCTGCCTGCTCACCACCGCCCCGATCTGGCTGCTTTTTGGCCGCGAGTGGAAGTACTCGCAGGAACTCTGGTAGGGGATTCGCTCCACCTCGCCCTCGATGCGGATCTACCGGGACAGAAGGCGGAAGTCAGCCAAGACCCAAGAGAGAGAAGCGGGGGCGGATGTTGCCTCACCTGTCTGTTCAAAGGCTCCCAGTAGAAGACGAGGCAGGCGTGAGGGTTGCTCTCCTGTGGGTGGACCACAGCGTGACGGCACTGATGTTGGCGTACACAAAGGTCAAGGGTCACAGCTACTCACCAGCTCCCTTCCCTTGCGGCTCTCGTAGTTGGTGAAGAATCGGAAGCCGTTGTCGTTGTAACCTTTGAGCAGGACCATGCGTGCCGATGGGCGGCCGTCTCTGACACGGAAGTGGGAAGTAACCAAGTACACATCATTTCTTAATGTACTCAAGCTCCCTTGACTGGAATCTTGGCGCAGTAGTGGATTAAATTGATTCATGTCTGCTTTTGATGACAGTTCTTTCAACTTTAGCCAAGCGAGGAGGACTTAGTCGATGTCAGAGTTACATGTATTCATTTTTTCGCCTTAAGTGTATTGTAGGCGGCTGGTATCGGCAGCCTCGACACTTACCCGAAACCTTAAAATAAGGCCGGTATCGGCCTATCGGTACTCGCCGATCCTTCGTCGTAAACAAAAATGCAAATGGTTGCTTACTTGGTTGCCGTGGCGATGCACATGGCGTTGGCCTCGCCAATCTCCGGGCATTTGGTGGCTTCGTCAAACCAGGTTCCAAACTGCTTGATTGGGTCCAGAGAAGTCAGTTCGCTCTCCTCGAAACACTAAATTGAACACAATCGGACTCTAAGTGACATTCATTCGCTTCAATGCAGGTATTCAATACCTCAACCATCATGGCAGAGTGTGCATGTGCAAAGATATGTGTATCAGGAAATCACCAAATAGAACGACTTCGACCCCACGTTGAAATTTTATCAGTGGCGAAAGTTGATTACACCGTTAGGAAACGCCAATCTGTACTGAAACTGCAGCTCTGCTTACCTTCAGTCGCAGAGTCAAAGTGGTTCTTTTGCAATGGAACTTTGGTCAGCCGAGCTGCCAAGCCATGAGCTGATAAATGCGATGTGGGAGCAGTTATTCTGTAAATTAGCCCCTATATGCTGGTGATGTAACCGTGCATAAGTGTATGTAGTTGCTTGTTATGATAATACTAGTGTAGCCTGTACTACCAGAGAGAAATTCTTTGTGTGCTCGACATAATTGGCCATCATTCTGATCCTCATTCTCATTCTGATGAATGGAAGGGCCCGCAGGTACTCCACAGACCATTTGTCCACAAACAATAAAAAGTCGATTGCTATTGTATCTTCCCTTTCAACTGCACTCAGTCACAACGTGAAGGATAGGATTTTGGAGCTACAAACAGATTTCCACAGAATGATTCCAGAGTCCAGCCTGATTGCAACGCTCACCTCCTCGTCTCCTTTGTATTTCTTCCTCATGTGACTGAGATCCATGCTCGAGCTGTCACGCGTCGATTGTCTGCGTAGAAAGACGCTTAGTTTGCCTGCAGTCGGAGGAGAAAGGGAGGCGCGACTGGCACCAATTATTGATACTCTCTGCCAAAATGATAGTGTGCCTCTCATGCCTGTGGGCTAATCTGACGTCACGACGAGTTCGCTTCACATTAAAAAACGAAGCAAATTTTGTAACCAATGTTCATGCACAACCTTGTTTATTTTCAATCAAACAACAGTATCTTCCGTAACCACTGGTTATAATAAGCGTTAAGTGCACGGAATAATTGGAGAAGTAATGACATTCACGAAGGAACGTGCAGAACAAAGCACAGTGGTGCGTTCAGGGAATGTCGCCCCGATGAATCTACAACACGATAGAACGACCGTGGCAATTTAAAAACGTATATTAAGACAAAAATCAGATTTACTCTGAATTTAAATGCACTTATTATCAGTCTTTGTCCGTTTAATAATGTGTTTTCTATTTTTACAAAATAATCCTAATTTGTCGCCAAGATCATGAATGTCGCATTTACGTCACTTCCGCAATACAATTTCCTCGCAGACATGGCGGCGACCTTGTGTGGAAAATTATTATCTCCAAAAGGTAATGCAGCTATAAGGATATATTTTGTTATACTGTATATATATAATGTGCATGTTGACATTTTTTCCCAATATTGTCGGTGATTTTAGCGGAGCTACTGCTAAACTGCTGTACCCCAATGAGCGTTTCGTGAAGTGGTCGAACTGCGGCCGTGTTCGAAATAATTGACTGATTTCTCACTTCCTACTCACGACATAGGTTTTATATATATGTGTGTGTGTGTGTGTGTGTGTGTGTGTGTGTTTAAATATGTATATATCCACACACACACACTATGCGCGCGCTCCTATAAATACGTCATTGCTGTCGCTTAATTATGACGGCTTATTTATGCATCACTTCCGCAATACAATTTCCTCGCAGACATGGCGGCGACCTTGTGTGGAAAATTATTATCTCCAAAAGGTAATGCAGCTATAAGGATATATTTTGTTATACTGTATATATATAATGTGCATGTTGACATTTTTTCCCAATATTGTCGGTGATTTTAGCGGAGCTACTGCTAAACTGCTGTACCCCAATGAGCGTTTCGTGAAGTGGTCGAACTGCGGCCGTGTTCGAAATAATTGACTGATTTCTCACTTCCTACTCACGACATAGGTTTTATATATATGTGTGTGTGTGTGTGTGTGTGTGTGTGTGTTTAAATATGTATATATCTCCACACACACACTATTCGGGCGCTCCTTTAAATACGTCATTGCTGTCGCTTAATTATGACGTGTCGCTTATGCATCAGTGTGTGGACCTTCTGTTTTAAATATCGATCAAATAAATTCTTAATAAATATCCAACATCCAATATATATATCCCGTAAGTAAAATATAAAAACATTGTTTCAAATTGAGTATTATTAGTAGAAATAATACAGACAATGTGCTTGTTGTGATGTGTTGCTCTACTTTTATGAAAGATATTTCCCCGCCACAGTCCACACACCATTAACCATTTTGTGACCTGCAAATAAACACCACAAAAGAAGAAGATACTATCTGTGACCGTGTCTTCCTTCCAGGATGGCTCCCCCGGACTCAGAGCATTCGCCACGGCTCCAAAGCTGTCACCCGCCACAGGAAACCGATGCACTTCCTTAAACAGAAGCTGCTGGCTGTGACACAGTACATTCCCCCGAAACCGGCTGCTCCCCCGGGCGCGTATCCACGAGAAACACCCGTGGTCCAGGAGCAGGTAACAAAAGTCATTTGTGTTAGTCGACACGGCACAAGACAGCTTGTGCAAACCTTACAAAATTCTTTAAATTCAGAAATTTAATATTTGTGTAAGATAAATAAAGAAGTCATGTTTTGTTCTAAGCCCATATTTCCCAGCCCTAGATGTCCCGAATGTTGTGGTCACATCCATAATGAGCAGCGACTGCCCATCAGTCCAGAGGAAGTGTCAACTGAAAGTTCTCTGTGTTCAGGAGAGTCCCTTGATGAGACTGCTGACGCGAGACCTGGAGGGGGTCTTCCGCGACTGCAAGATGGTCGCCGTGGCGCAGAACAGCGGCTCCACCTCTCATGACATGATAATGCTCAAAAACAGGTTCCACAAGCATGACATTCACGTCAGGCTCTTCCCCAACCAGGTAAACAAATGGAACAACCAGGAAGCGTTAACTCGGCTCCAGTTAAAGTCATTTGCATTGTCGTCATAGAGTATGATTGATTGACTCATGTCCACGTGTGCTCCTGTGCAGGTGATGCGTTCCTTCCTTAGCAAGAGCATCTACAGCAACATGGCCCCTCTGTTCATTGGGCCCACCGTGCTGTTTGTCAGCAAAGAGCCCAAGGTGAAGGAAATGCTCTCCACGCTGAGGCTCAGCCCACAGATGAGTCTTCTAGGTACCTTTTTATTTTGTAGTCACACGCTTTACGATACAGTCAACCCCCGCCTCGCTGTCACAGGTGCTGGGTTTGTGGTCCTGCTGTTTTGTTTGTTTGGGGTTTTTTTTGGACAATCGGGAATGATTTTGGTCTGCCTCCCATTTGTTGTGTTTGTGTTTGATTTGCGGATAGTTGTTTTTGAAATATTTTTGTTGAATTTTTACCACAAAATAATGATTGTGATGGGTATTTTAAATCTCTAACACAAAAACTAATAAAAAAAACTAAAATGAATAATTTAAAAAAATCAAAGAAAACTAAAAATGAAAGAACATACCGTCATGAAAAATCCTGTCTCACCCAGATACGCAGCGGGCCAAAGTTTGTCAGGTGAAACTAATTTGACCTTTTCTAAACTTTGTCTTTGATCAGGATTTCAGTCAGCGGCCATCACTCACTTCTCTGCACCTTCAATTTACACCCATTATGAAATGATCTATTTTACAGGAGCCTGCATAGACAACACGCTGTTGAGTGCGCAAGGCGTGGCGAGCTACGCCAAGCTGTCGTCAGTCGCCGTGGTCCAGGGCGAGCTGGTGAGCGGCCTGAGCGCGCTGGCTTCGCAAACGGGCACCTTGCTTCAGCGACACCCTACCCACCTGACGGCGCTGCTGCAGCAGTACGCGGCGCAGCAGGCTCAAGCGGAGAAAGCCACGTGAAACGAGGACCATCCTGGGACGTTCAGGACGCTTGCGCAGGCGATCGAGGAACGGGCATTCAGAAGGTCTTAATTATCTTTATTTACATTAAAGGTGTTTTGCGACTGTTTGTGGGTCGAATTGTTTATTTCGCTTTTTGGCCACTTCATAAAGTACTAGGGCGGTGTGATCGGATCACATTGATTATGTGTACAGTACAGTGGTCTCTTGAAGCAGTATAATCGAGAAAAATGGATTCTACGTACTTGGAGACGGTTTTCAGTGAAATGCGGTCATTATTCACAGAAGAGTGAAAAGACTATATCCCTGTGAGTGTTAGGGTGTGTGCTCTATTCTCCAATTTTATTTTGCAAGTCAAATCCAAAAATAAATAAATGTACAAAGGGAGACTGGGAATTGAATTGTGAAAAATCAAGGCACCACTGTACGACAAGTTCTGGTTTTACGTCACAAAAGTCAACCTCTCAATATGATCACAACAATAAACACATTCAATCAATACGTACATTGGTCCCCCAAAAATGTGTCCTGTAAAATTGTCTTGTGATGACACCCTGTGGCCTGTAGGTGGCGTGGTCTAATAAACGCACAAGTGGCAACAGCTCCTGGCCCTCTAATCCTCAGATTAGCGCGAGTTAATCTGAGGTGCACAAGAGTGCCCTCCCACACCCCCACGTGCTCCCCAAAGGCCTGCCTCCCATAATTCCCACTAATGCGGATCACGTCCAGGACGTTCTGGTGCACTCATCCTGGTGAACGAGCATCCTGCAAAGTGAGTGACGTGCGCGTGGAAAGGGATGACAAGCGCACCGGACCTGAAGATTCTGGTACTGCTATAGTGGACCTCGTGGAGGCACGTGACGGACGGACCATGACCCGCTCAACTGACATCCAGGTAGGAGTCATGTGTTGCTTGTAGTTTTATATTGTTATGCGATGAACTGAATTTCCCCCAAAAATAATTTTGCAGTAAAGGCAATCAAGGGTTAGAAGGTCAACGCGGCCCACTCCGTTTTTTTAATCCGGCCCACCGAGCATGAACATGATCAAGAGTCCTGGAACATTTGTCGCATACATTTAGCTGTATTTTCTTTCTCTTGAATTTATTTGTGCATTTTTAAAAATTAAATACACTGTCTAAAAGACTATATATATATTTTGAGGGCGCCTAAAACGGTTATTTAAATTGGTTAAAATGTCATTTCTTGATATTTATGGTGATAATGTGAGTAAGCAACTCGCTTCCTCCAAATCAATTTGTTGAGTCGTTTCACTGATCTTGAGGTTGGAGTTCAAGACAAGGTTCCGCAAACTCTTCTTTCTTTGTTGGGAAACGCAGGAGAGCCAATTTTCACCGAAGTGTGTAAAGTGCATCGAGTATGTTGGCAAACGTTGCGGCGCTGGGTGAAAAACATGACGTCACTCCCTCTAGATCGGCCCATAAAAGCAGCTAGCAGTGTGAGGAGCACGAAGCATCCATCATTTTGTCAGTTGATGGGGTGTTTGCGCCGAGGGGGTGTCACCTGAAAGGCTTGAGATGAAATCCTCCGCCAGTCAGCCCGAGTGCTCAGAGTGGAGGTTATCTCCGGAATATTTGCGGGGCGTACACAAGCGAGATGGTGCTGTGATAGCCCCGTATCGCCGCCGACCGCACGCTGACAAGAAAGCGCTGACATCCTCGAAAAGGTTCAAGAGGCTCGTTTTGCCAGTGCGACGGGAAACGCTCTGGCCGCCGTGTTTGATTGAGATGAGGAGCTTCTTCTCGTTCGGAGGGCTTTAGGCGAGCGGACTAAAATGCAACTTCTTTTTTACAAAAATGCGATTGAGTAGTTTTAATTGATTGTTTCCGCCCCCTTGAGCCAATTAAACTGTTTTGTTCAGCTGACACCAAACAAATGTTTTTATTTTATTTTATTTCATCTTTTTTTTTTGCCCATACCTCGGGTCAAAATGTCCCAACATGCTGAAAGGTCACTTCCTTAAATGACACCAGCTTGGCACGTTAGTTAAAATAATCAGCAAACTACTGTTATAGTTCAATCGACAAACGCTGCAAAAATAAATAAATGAATAAATAATTCACTAAATAAAGTACTTATTGGGGCTGAAACAGTCATTTAAATTCGGACAACTTTCAAAAATAAATTCTTGACGTTTATGGCAACAATGCTTTTGTAAACTAGCTCCTCTCTGTTGTTCGTGTAAGCAGCTCACGTCAGTGGTGATGCACATCCAACAACATTCCTAAATTAAAAATAATCTTTCCGACAAGTGAATTCCAATAAATCCATAAATCAACCAACTTCACAAATTTAGTTGGAAAAAAAAAAAGTCTTGTGGAGATTCGTGTGTAAGCGTGCTCGCCAATAAATCCTCTCATCCCGTTTCCTCCTCCTGCGAGGTCACTTCCTCTCATCCCTCTTATGTAACACAGGATTCAAAAGTATTGGAACACCTGCAGGGAGTTGATTTGGGCGGTCAGATGTCAGGGAAAGGAAAAGGAACTTTGCCCAAATGGACTCCAAAAATAAACAATTCACTACGAACTAGTGCATCCTCTGATTTATTGATCGCATTGGAGGAGCTGTGTCTCAATACTTCCACAGCTGAACAAATAACCCATTTTTTTGTTCATCTATAGATGGCAGAAGGTCCAATCACATGTTGCCAATAATACGAGAGATCAATCGCCAAGCGTTCACATATTTGTGAGTAAATTGAGACGAGATCGTCATGAGTAGGGCTACTTTTCCCGTGAGATTTTTCTATTTGCGCGGCCAAGCGCATGCATTGCAGCATGTAGTTACTCGTGTTGCTAAAAAGATCTGCTTGAAAAACCAATTAGGACAAAGTTAGTAATCCTCCTGGCAGCCGCGCCGGGAAACGCTGCGACGTGCCGGGTGCCGCTAATAGCGCCACGTGGCCCGTCGTCTTGGGACACAAAGCAAGACGCAACTTGATCATGTTTTAAAATCACACCTAACAAGTACATATTATGCAGCCACAAAGGAGTAGCCCACAGTCCTTAGTCTTGCGTTGTTTTCAGCAGTTCTCTTCAATCATGTACCATGTCTTTATTTCTCCGGATCCACTTCTCATGTCAAACGGACGCGGCCCCTGCAGGTGGTTGGCGGGTTACTTGGCATCGGATGGTAACGGCTCCAAAATGACTTGCTATGGCTCGGCCCTCAATCGCAGCCAGTCGCTGGCGAGCGGCCTGGAGAAGTCGTCGCCCACGTGGTCCAAAGCTCCCCACTCCCGCAGCAGCAGCACGCTGTCGTCTCGACACTCGCGACAGGTGAGCGGCCTCCGAAAAATATCGGTCAAAACAGGCGTCCGAATAAGTTCTTTCTTTCAGCACGTCAAAGACTGGGAAGTGGTTGACGACGTCCAAATCGACGCGAGCGCTGGGGGGGAACATCCTCAGGAGATGAGCGCTCCGGGCATCTGTGAAGGTTATCTTCTCAAGAGGAGGAAGTGGCCGCTTAAAGGCTGGCACAAGGTGACCAAAACAAAATCCTGCTTATGACCACTCCTCAAAATACTCATCAAACTTTTTTCTTCTCTTCAGTATCATATTAATGTGTTTTATTTCTTTTCCATACAGAGATACTTTGTACTGGAGGGAGGGGTCTTGAGATACTGTAAAAATCAACAAGATGTAAGTCCATCCCATGAAAAATAAACGCTGCCTTCAGCACATCACGCCAACTCATCTCGGGAACGCTACTTAACCAAATGCTAATGCTGCATCTTATGCTTACACGTAGCTACTTAAACATCCAGCTTCCATTATCATATGTACCATATTAATATACTGTACCTGTTCATACATGATGCTCATGCAAAATGCGAACCGGTCACACTACCACAACCTACTCAAGACTATGCAGTAATACGTAAGAACCTTACATTTGCACTTTGAACACACTACAAAGCACTACCTCAAACGCTAACTAGTCATGGTAACTAATTTTACACACCATAACATCTGTAAGTTTAAACATTTGATCACAAAGTGCAAACATGTCAAACAAACATCACCTCGGTGCGCAAAAATCCCACTTTTGTGATTTTTTTTTTTCTTTTTAACACAAAATACTGCACCCTAAGTGACATCGTATGCTGACACCAAATGCTCACAGGTGTCGATAGGAAGAGTGCAGGGCTCTCTGGACATCAGCAGCGCTGTCATGTCCATCAACAAGAAGTCCAATCGGATTGACTTGGACGCAGGGGACATTCTGTATCACATGAAGGTGAACGTCACGTTTCGAGACTTGAAACATCAAAATGTGTATCGAGACTTTAATTATGTACATATGTATGAAATGTGTCTTTGATGTTGGAAAAGAGACAGTAAATGTTTCCCGTGCAACTGAAGGCAAAGAGCCACGAGCTCTTCTACATTTGGGTGACCAAGCTGCAGGCACAGTGATCATACAGGAAGAGCGAGGCGGCTGCGGCTGCGGCGGTGGCGGCGGCGGCGTGGCACGGCGTCATCCACAACGGACACGTGCCCACGCTCACGCCCGATGCCGGCTTCCTTGGCGGGCAGCCAAAATGTTTCCCGCAGACCTCGGCCAAGGCCGCCGTCAACAACAAAGTGTCGGCGTGGCTGCAGCAGAGTCCCGCTCCCGACACCTGTGTTCAAGGTCCGTACGAATGAACTTTTGCGTTCTGACAATGCCCTTTTGATACGCACTCATGAGTTCCATTCCTCACATCGATACGAAACGTGGAGCTGCCTCGTGTTTACAAACGCACAACTATTGATAACTTGGATGTGCCACATGCTGCTTCACAAAGCTCCTCCTTCCAGAACTGAACCGTTGCAATTTGGACCTTCACGAACTGACCCGGCTGATCCAGAGGCTGCAGCTGCTGCAGGCGGGTCAGACGTTCACGAATGGGGACCTGCAGCGAATCATCAGCACGCAGGTGCCGTCGCGTGGCTTTGGCGTGATATTTTCCTTCAAAATGATTGATGAAGTCGCAATCCTATGTTTTGCTATGTTTGAATTCAGAATCTTTCCCTGGAGAAGCCAAAGAAGCAAATGCCAGGAAGAGGGTGGGGTCACTCTCGCACCCTTTCCAGAGTGGAAGCGCTGGGAATGGTGAGGAGTCACGTTTGGACAAAAGCATTGGGACGCAGCTCTCTGCATCTTTTTTTTTGTAGATACATGATTTGGGGGGAGTGTCATACATACATAGAGTGCGCAAACTGTCGTGGTTTCAGAATGTAACCAGACACACAAAAAAAGTTCTTATTATCTTTCCATTCCTAAAAGCCTGTTCGTAGGATGACCAAATCGGTGAGTGCATAGTGGGCAGTTCGTGAGATGTGCGCAGTTCTTGTGACTGTTCCGTGTCCACCAATCAAAACCGGGCATTGTCTAGCTCTGCCCCTCTTAGCGACCCAAGGCTGCCAAAAAAAGCGCTTCTTTTGATCCCCTTTTGAGAATGGCAGCGGATTGAGGCGCCGTACGACACCGCGGTGCAGTTCACGCGTTGAGCGCTGCGCTCTTTTGTTCAGTTGTCCTCCGGCCCTCTGAGCAGCTCCTCCCACTTCGGCGCCTCCGTTCCCTCCATCCCGGACTACGTCTACTCCCAGCTGGCCCCCCTCGACGCTGCCTCATCCGCAGAGGGCAAGAAGATCCAGCAGGACATCTGTGCCGTGTCGCTGCGAGGTAACGCTCTGCACACGAATACGCGATCTTGTGACGTTCAAGGATGACAAAATAAATATGGGTCTGCTCGGCTCACTTGCGGTGTTCGAGAGGGTTCGCATAAGAGTTAAGTAATCAAGGTTTGCGCGTTCTTCTTCTCTTCAGTCCTGGCTACGCTCCAAACGGTCCACCAGTCCTTGTGTCAAGAGAGGCAGAAACTGCAAGAAGTCTGGGAAAACCACACGGAAGAACTGGCGGCGGGGAGACGTTCATCCCACAGGCCCCCTTCGGCGGCTGACTCCACGGCCGAGTATTTCGACGCCAGCGACGACTTCCTGCTCGGGAGCTCCTCTGACGTGTCGGATGAGTCGGGACTGAGCGACGGAAGCACGTCCAACTCGGAGCCGGAAGAAGGACATTGTGAGTCTGCTGCAAACGTCATCGATTCTGTCAAGCAGGCCTCCCCTGTATGCGATCCCTCGAATGTCACTTTCCACTTCCTGTTCTCGACAGTGTCCGCCACCCGAAAGTACCGCGCCAGCATTTCCAGGACTCCTCACAGTGTCGCTCCCAAGAGCAGCGGCCGGCGAACGTCGCTTCCCGCGCCGTGTCCGGACAACAGTCACGTGGGCCTCATGGCCATCCTCTACAATAACATCGGTAGGTGGCGGGCACACTCAAACCGAGAGCGCCCGCGAGAATGTAAACAAACGACTGCCGTTACCGGTATGAAACTCAAATGTGGATATGGCGGCGCAGGTAAAGACTTGGCTCGCGTGTCCATGCCGGCCGCTCTCAACGAGCCCGTCAACCTGCTGCAGCGACTGTGCGAGGAGCTGGAGTACAGCCAGCTGCTGGACACCGCCGGTGCCACCGCAGACCCTTACCAGAGGATGGTACGCAAGCACACGCTGTTAACCCAGTTGTAGACAAGAGACGGCGCTAGTCGAGAATAATGAGAGCATCTGACTATGTTGTGTCAGGTCTACATCGCCGCCTTCGCCATCTCGGGCTACTCCACCGCCACCTTCCGAAACCGCTACAAGCCCTTCAACCCCGTCTTGGGGGAGACCTACGAGTGCGTGCGGGACGACCTCGGCTTCCGCTTCATCGGCGAGCAGGTCAGTCACGAAAAAAAAGCAACGTTGAGTGAAAATAAAAAATAAATACTTACGCTGATGAGAGAAAAGGGTGTGTCCCAATACTTTTGTCCATGGAATGTCCCTAGCGGCTGGGAAGACGTTTGTGCCACAATGAAATTGTTAAAAAATAAAAAATTCAGATGAGCCATGACATTCATAAAGCAGAGTATGTTTGAGAAAAACAAAAGTTGAAATTTAATATTGAATGAATTACAGAAATGAGTCCAACAATTTTTCGAGGACTCCTGATCATTTTCGGCTGGCCTAATTAATCAACAGTCCATATTTTGCTCTCCTTATGAATCGGACCACCCGTGCTTCGATGATCTTACCGTTGGGATGTATTTTGTTTTTTTGAATCAGGTGTGCCACCATCCTCCCATCTCCGCCTGCCACGCAGAATCCGAGAACTTCTCCTTCTGGCAAGGTGACACTCGACGATCGTAGAAGCAGAAGCGCAAGGTGGTGCGAGGAGGCCCTCAGCTTAGCTTTGCTCCTCATTGTCTCTCAAAACAGACCAGAGGTGGAAGAACAAATTTTGGGGCAAGTCGCTGGAGATCGTGCCGTCTGGGATGGTGAACGTGACCATTCCCAGGTAAGCGAGGCTCCGTGGCGTCAGCAGAAACCCCCGCGGAGGCTTGCTTGGTGGACTCGCTATTTTTCTGGCGTCGTGCTCAGGTATGGAGACCACTACGAGTGGAACAAAGTGGTGACGTGCATCCACAACGTGCTGAGTCAGCAGCGCTACCTCGAACATTACGGCGAAGTCACCATCCGCAACCTGAAGAGCAACGCGTGCACCTGCAAGATCACTTTTGTCAAGGTGAGCAGGTGGCAAAAGTTGTCGCGCTCTGCACGCAAACTTAGACTTATTTTCCTCCCACCCCACAGTCTCGCTACTGGGGCTCAGAAGCCAACAAGAACGAGGTCCAGGGCTCCGTACTGGACCAAAGCGGCAGCGTCATCCACCGCTTTGGAGGTCTGTGGCACGAGGGAATCTTCTGTGACACGCTGCCAACCCCCAAGTGCGTCTGGAAGCCAAGTGAGTTGAAAAATATCGAGCTCCTTCTTTTTAGCACTGCGTCCTTTCTTCACTTCCTCACCCGAGAGGCTTGTCTCTCCTCGCAGATCCTCCACCCAAAGACCACCTGATTTACTACGGCTTCTCCGCCTTCGCCATGGAGCTCAATCAGCTCACGGCCGACCTCAAACATCTGCTGCCCCCTACTGACAGTCGCCTGCGCCCCGACCAGAGGTCAGAAAAACAAATTCAGAGAGGCGGCAGCGAGGATACAACCCAAATATTGCCAGGGTATCGGAACTTTAGAATAATATCATTCAAGTTTTACTTGAATAAGAGCAAGTATTCAGTGAAAAAAACTACTCAAGTACTGAGTAAGTGGTGAGTAAGTGTACTGCGTTACTATCCACCTTTGCAAAGAAGTCATCAACACAAGCAGGAAGTTTGAAACACAAACAGGAAGTTTGAAGAACTAGCAGGAAGTGAGAAGCACAAACAGGAAGTTAAAAACGCAACCAGGAAGTTTGAAGCACAAACAGAACGTTACAAACACAAACAGGAAGTTAGAAACACAAACAGGAAATTGCAAAGCACTAACGGGACATGAGTAACAGAGACAGGAAGTAGCAAACCCAACGAACAGGAAGTGGCAATGTTGTTGACGAGCCGCTCGGCGTCTCTCGGGCAGGATGCTGGAGGAGGGCCGAGTGGAAGAGACGGACAGAAAGAAAGACGAGATCGAGGAGCTGCAGAGGGAAAGAAGGAAGGAGCTCGCCAAGAAAGGAGAGGAGCACGTGCCGGCTTTCTTCAAGTCAGTCCCCCTTCCTCGAATAGACAATCAAAAAAACATTTTTCCCAACCCGAGACGCACCCTAAAAATTAAGTGTTACTTTAGCGCCATCTTGTGACATTTTGGGGCCAAGCAACTATGTTAAAGTGAGTTGAGGAGTTTCATTTGGTCAAAAATAGTGTGTTCATTAATTAAATGTGAAGAATGTGTCCCTCACACCCCTGATTTAATCCACACGTGTGTGTGTGTGTGTGTGTGTGTGTGTGTGTGTGTGTGTGTGTGTGTGTGTGTGTGTGTGTGTGTGTTGTCGTTTCAGAAAAGCCAAGGACAGTTGCGGGCGTGATGTGTGGCTGACAAACGGGACTTACTGGAAACTCCGAGAGGATCCCGGCTTTGCAAAGCTCCCGTGTGTCACGCTGTGGTGACGTTAGCGGCGCGCAAAAAAACAAACCAACCAAAAAAACAATAATAATCATAAAAAACAAGCACATGTGATCCGCTGCATAGCTCAGCGCTGATGTGCTCAGCCTCTCCCGCCGTGACTGGGATCATGACAGCATATCACCGTTTATAAAAACGGTTTCTTTCTCATTTTAGACAAAGACAGTCTTGAAATGGACTTTTTGATGCCTTGTATGCAGATAGGCGGGTCTCCACAAGGTTTGCTCTGAGCGACCAATCAGAGGACGAAAGGACGTTTGGTGACACGAGGGCCGGCTTGCTGGACTTGTGAGGACAAATTTCAAATCTGGTTGGTTCAAGAAGCAGTCCGACTGAGACTACTGCTTAAGCTACATCGGCCGGAATGACCAATTGTGAAGGGCGGATTAGATTGACATGGTTACAGAGATGTTGAAATACGATTGGACAAAAAAAAAAAAAAATCGAACATTGTCAGACGCATGTTGCAGCCAAATGAAAGTATGCGACAGACTTTTATTGTTAAGACCCATGCAAACTGTGGGGTGAAAAAAGTGCATACTATGTCTCCTTTAAAACTTTATTTGATTCGAAAAAAAAAACAACAGTACTGTACAATGATACTCAATTGTGCCACCTTGAATAAGTAACACTTGTCCCTTTTAGAAAACTCCCTACATAAATTGCGCTTGACGGGAAGATTATTGCTCATTTCATCTTTCAAATATGCAAAGCAGCTCTTTTTTTAAAAATAATATAGATTTTTTTTTTTTTTTTTTTTTTTTTTTTTAATATGTGTGATGCTGCTGTGACCTCGGAGTGTGATTGCAATCGCGCTAACGTGAAACGTGGATTAACGTGCTCTCATGTTAATTTTGAGTCCCCATTGAAGCAAACAAAAGTTGAACCTTCCACCTCACGATCGCCTGAGATGGACGGCAAAAGTTTTGGGAACCCCTGGTGTACGGCAAGGTGGGCCAGAACTAAGATTTTAGAAATGCTGAGGGTCCATCCCTTCTTTCCAATTTGAGCAGAATTAAAAAAAAAAAAAAAACCCAAACATGATGAAATAGTAACATGATGACATCAGTGATGTTGAAGATGCTCGGTTTTGACTCCGACTCAGTCAAATAGGCGCCGTGAGCAACTGCCGCTGCCATCTGCAGTTTCTAACGCTTTTTCACAGACAGACAGGGCCCCCCAAAAACCCGCGCCACCCTGGAGGTGAAAGGGGGGTGGGCGTCATGGTGTCTCTGTGGTCACTTCCCACTTCCTGTTTGCAGCGGTGACAAGTGTCTGTTTGGCTTCTGGTGTGTGAGTGACCCACTTTTTTTGGACCACAGAAGAAGAAGAAGGGACCGCAGCGACTGGCTTTCCCACTGCTTCAAACGCACCGGGAGCGATGGTGATAACCCCCCTCCCCTCTTCCAGCTCATCCTCCCTGCCCCTCCTGTTACTACGGTAACTGTCGCCAACCATCGATTCACCTCTATGTTCTGTCACCTCCTCCGAATGTTCAGATTTGTTTTTTTTTTTTTTTTTCCCCCTTTGGGGTGGGGAGACAATTTAGCGCGGGTGCGACCATTTGTCACATTTTGAATGTACAGGGTGTACGCCATCTCGTACCAATTTCAAAAACGGGCGAGATATGTGAAGTGCTGTGGCTCAGTGGGCGTAATAGCCAAAGTAATTGGCCTCTTTGTCGCACAGCTGTGCCCCGTGATTGGGCGGCGGCGAGTTCTCAGTACTGGACGTGTAGGGCGACACCCTCCTCTTCTTGGCGTCGCCCGCGCCGCCCTCAAACGGGGCCGAATCCACCGAGTCGGGCGACTTCAACGAGGGCGGCTCCAGCCAGTGCTGCTCGCCCTCCGCCGCGTCTTTGCCCTTGTCGGCCAGCGGGAGGGGCTCCAGCGGGGCGGGGTGCAGGGGGCCGGCGTGCAGCCGGGCGTTACCGGGCAATGCGGGCGACGAAGACAATGGGCGAAACCAGGCCAGGCTGGGGGCCGGCTTACTGGCCAGGTACTGAGGCGGGGCCCGGGTGCCGGTCCATGCCGCCGTGGCGGACACGCTGCCGGAGGCGAACGGGCGCTCGGGGTAGTAGCTGAGGGCCGGGTGCGGGGGGTTCTGTAAGGGGAAGGGCTTGTAGAGGGCGTTCCCGGAGAAGTCGCCCTCGAAGGATGACGCCAAGTCCAGGCGGTTGGGGGCGGCGGCCTGCTGGGACGGCACGTACCAGTGGGGCCCCGGGCCGGAGGGGCCGTCCTTGTGCTGCTGGCCGCCCGCCGCCGCTTCCCGGCCGTAGAAGCGGCCCTGGGGCAGGGGGTTGACGTACGGCTCCGACAGGTAGCTCGCCGGGTAGCAGCCCCCGGCCAGGAGCGGCTGGCTCTCCGTCGGGGAGGGGGTGAGGCGCTCGGGGTCGGGCGCTGCGTACAAGCTAGGTGGGTGAGGGTGGGGAGGAGGAAGCGGAAGCGGGGAGGTTAGAAAACTTGTTCCATCCTGCCCCAAAACCTCAAACATCTATCTAGTATCTCCACAAAGTACACTTCAGTGCACTCTGTCTTGAGCGATGTAAATAGCTATCGACAAGAGTGCACAAATTTTCACAAATATGCTTCGTTTGCCTGAACTTAAATTGGGATCTATTGTAATATGTTTGTCAGTCTTTGCACTCATTTCCAATTTATTTACTCTGTTACTAAAATTACTATTAAAAAAAAAAAACAACAACCCTGTTCGATCATTTGTTAAATTTGCAGTTTGTTTTTTTTACCCCCCAAAAAAAAAAGAATTGGGACATGACTGGGCACCGTCAATTTTTTGTTGTGTTATCGTGTTTCTCTCGTGTTGTCTGTTTGACCACAATGAAAACAAGAATCTTATCTCAGACTTCATCTTGTCCTTTTTTTTTTTTTTGTCTCTGCTTATCTTCTCTAAGCGCCAATTGCTCGCTTCGTAGCACACAATCACTAAACATACTTGTATGTGGGCCTTACAGAGTAAAAAAAAAAAACAAAAAAAAACAACAGGACAATTATCCATAGAAAAGTCTACACACCCCCGAAAAATGTCAGGAGAGCCTACCAGAACACCTGAACATGATTTGGGTTTCATCAGAGGCACTTGAAATTTTGCCAGATGTCACCCGACTCATTTGGAAAGTTTTGAAATGATCTTGATCTCAAAAGCTGTCATTTGAACAGGGGCGTGTGGACTTTTAATATCCACCAGAAGCAAATGTTACTGCACTGACTTGTCGTAGCTGTCGCGGAAGCCTTTGGCGAAGGGGTTGTGGTCGATCTTTAACTGAGTGATCTGTCAGGCAGGGAGACAACGAGAGAAAAAGAATCGTCAAGTTTCCAGACGGTGAACATCATGCCGCTTCATCGAAAACTTTGGACCCACGTCGGCGTTCTGGTAGGCGGTGACGGCGATGAACTGCGTCTCGGGAAAGACGAAGGTTTGCGCTTTGGACACGTGGAAGGCGTCCTCGCTGCCGTCCTCCTTCACCTCCACCACGTGCAGACGCGGCTGATACTTGTGTAGGGACTGCAGCACGATCATCTGAGTGGGGGAGCACGTTTCAAATTACTCAGCAGGTCTCGGATGGAAAACAAACACAAAAATTCCGATCCATCGCCTCACTTTTGAAATCAATCAATTGAAATCTGAGTCCACCTATAATTAAAAAATAAATTAATGATCTCTACTGCTAATAACATTTAAATGAATTCATTTTGGATACCACTTGAATATATTGACATCAACAAAAAATGACGGGCTACGACTGATACCATTGAGGAGTCAAAGAGTGAATACTCGTCCTGGTATCGGTCTGGAAAAAAAAAGGTATCGAACCTCTCGAATCAAATCCAAATGAAAAGGACAAGTCAGGGTTTGTACCTGTGCCACGTTGTTACTTCCGCCCTTGTTATTGGTGAGCTTGAGCTTACTGAAGGACACTTCCTGCCTCATCCAGTGGGCGCCCGTGTTGGGAGAGTCGGGGTGCACGTACATCCTGTTTCCTGCGCCAATCACCACATGACTCAGTCGTCAGAAAAAAAAAAAAGACGCCTTTCAGGCCTACGTGATCTTGCCATCGTACCTGGCATGTTGCCCTCCGCTTTGCCACACTGCACCCACTTGCCGCCCTGGTAGCGCCAGTGGTGCTGGTCGGCCAGAACCACGTCCACGTACACGTTGTAGTGGGCCGACGGGTCCAGCGAGCTGATGTTGAAGCTCAGAAACGGGAACATCCTCCTGGCAAAAAACAAAATTCACATACGACACTTGCTGACAAGGTCTTTTGGTTGTTTTTTTTTTTTGCTCTGCTTACAGGTTCACCTGCTGCCTTTAGCCCCTCCCTTCCCCCTGATGACAGTCAATCAGACTCATTCTCAGCCCACCTGCGCCTTATGGTCTGTTCCTCGTTGATGACCTCAAACTTTGTTTCAAGTCTGGTTTCATCCTCATCAAAGCCATCTACCGTGCCTTTGGACTATCTGGATTTATTTTTATGTTTTTGTTTTTTAAGGTTTGCTTGGATTGGAATGGAAGGTCTTTTGTGGTCCCGCTGCAGCTCCAAACGAGTAAGTCCAACAACACGCTTCTCCTTTGACTTCTTTTTGTTCAATGAACACAGAAACCAATCAAACCACAGAAGATAGTTCTATCAAAGCTACAGGCCTGCTTAGCTGAACAGAAAGGCGAAAGAGGAAAATACATTTGGCCTGCACAACTCACAGAAAAAAAACTTGTTTCTCATTCAAAACAACAGGTGGTAGATTGTTAGAAGAGAGGGTGTGTTTGGTCCTGTTAATGCTTAGCTTTGCTTTATTTATTGCCAGGTACAGGCAAATTCGATTTTTAAAACGAACAGCTGGGCAAGCTTGTATTACTGAAATACAGTAAAAGGAAAAACTCTTTGTTTTCAACACACTTTTTGGCGACGAGCGAAGCTATTTGCATTCATGTGACTCTCCTGCATGTTGACAGCGCTGCTTAGCTCAATTTGAAACGTGCTTATGCAAATGAATGTAATTGTTCCTTCGGGCGCTTTGGTGGCGTCAAAACAAGTGAGCTGTGTAAAGGCAGGAAAGCGTTTGTCGCCGGTTGCCAGGGCACCTGGGGGGGGGGGGCGGCCATTTTCGAGTCCTGTTGTTTTAGCGTTCCGTTGTGGCAAAAGAACCAATTTCACTGGAGTTGACACTGTGCTGTTCATCAGTCGGATTAGATGCTAGGCTAGACACTTTGTTTCAATCCGGCAATGCATGTACAGCAGGCCAGGTTTCGAAACTGCAACTCATTGAATTTTGCTGTATTTTGGTCTGGTTTAGATTAGCTGCGATTCCCCTGCTGACGACTAATTGGCACCGCCCACTGTGTTTGACAGTCAAGTTGAAAGACGGGTGAAAAGAGGACGGACCTGTATTTCAAGTTCAGCTTAGTTTCGGTCCTCTCAAATCCTGCTTTTTATGCCGACATAAAATAGAAATAAATCAAAAGAAACTACTGTGGGTTCATGTTAAATCTCTTTCGGCATGATTTTTGTGGCGTAGATGCAATGAGAGCATGCCTATCAGCGGGATTAAAATTGTGTATTTTGAGATCATTGACTCACTTTGCTATTCGGTGTCACAAATGTATCTGCGATCCTGACTGGAGCATCTTGGAAGCTCCGCGAATCAAATCTGGGAATCTTCCGCCGAACTGACGCTTGACGCTGACGCCAAACGACGGTTCGTCCGTCACTACGGACGCTCGCAAGTCTTCCGAAGTGCGATGAATCGCTCCGGGGAAACACGGCGGAACTACGCCGCTGACGTTTAGGAACAATCCGGCTGGTGCGGCAGAGGGCGGAATAGACGGGAGGGGAAGTGGACGGCGGGCGAGGGTAGAGGGGGGTGGGGGGGACTCTTCCGCACCGGCGCACCCGCTGATATGTGTGGACAGGAGCTCAGGTCGGCTTCTTGTCACCGCGTACGTTGGCCTGATCTCCTGTGACTGCGACGTGCCAGTCTGCAGCTGCTGCCACTCGCCAACACGGAACGCTATTTATAGTCCCGGGGTTCGCAAAGCTTTTGGGCCCAGGGAGCCCCCCCACCCCTCCTCAACTTTGTTTTTAATGTAATTCCACTGTCTGCCACTAGATAGCACACTTTTTTACACTGTATAAATTTCAGTAAAGCGTGAAAACAGAAAGTAGGCCTATTTTCATCAGCCTCATGTTTTGCAATTGTTTATTTGATGTTAAATCCTCCGTAATCCTGCCTCTTACAGAAAGCGACAGCTGTTGGTTCATTTTCCAATTTGTATCATGAGCCATAAATATTGATTTATATTCTGAGATGATAACTGTTGGTTTGAGAAACAAAATGTCTCAATGTGTTTGGATTATTTTAAAAGGATAAAGACCCCTAAGAAAATAGATGTTGCAAATGTTACAAAAACATGCCTAGGGTGCATTTGAATACATTATTTCAATATTAGTGTCCTTTCTGTACCATTTGTGTGTTCCATGTGGGCCCCATCTTATGAAAATAATACAAAATAACATAAAATTGGAGGAAGGCTTAGGGGAGGGGTCAATATGGGCGAGTGTGAGTCTTGCTGACTTGAGAAAGCATTTGTTTTGCTGTCCGACAAGGCGCTCGCCTGCTCGCTCGCCTGCTCGCTCGCCTGCTCGCTCGCCTGCTCGCTCGCTCGCCGTTTCTGTGAAGACCAAGTGTGAACAGGAAGTCACACTTCTGCTTTTTTTTTTTTTTTTTGGGGGGGGGAGACGGGAAGAAGATGAAGACTTCCTAATATTTAAATGAAATATTTTCATGATGACTGACATGTTGATTATCATCAATGAGGACTTGAAATAGAAAAGGCGCCCACTCGAGTTTCCCCACTTTGAATGTGAAACTCCTGTGGGAAGACACCTTCACAAAAAATGTTGGGGTTTTTTTTTTTTTTTTTTTTGCTTCATATTTCAGAGTTTGATCTTCAACTTTTCTCTCGAGGGGATCAGTATTTTCATCACGGGCCACATCGTAATCGTGGTTTCCCCTCAGGGTGACGATATGTCAGAAAAAGAAAAAAAAAAAAGAGTTCAATGCACAGTCACCTCACCGGAAAATAATGAAAAGACCGCGTTTTTCAGTTCAACACTTGTTAGCCAGCCTTGACCGCATCTCTGCTCTCTGCTCACCATGCATACAACCACCACCCTCACGCTCCATTCCAGCAGTTTTGTTGACCTCGCGTCAGCACCACTTTTGGGTCGTCTTTTTCTCCGTTTTGACGCAAGTATATTGATTTGCTTTTGGATTGTTTCGTTTGACTTTGCTGTTTCCACATTGCAAATGAGAGTCGGCTCTCCGTTGCCTAAGCAGGATCGATGAAGGTTCAACACATCAAGACATTATTTTTGCCGGCCTGCCATATAAATCACAAAGATTTTATTGCAGCCATAAAACCTGCAAAATGGCTCAAATGGAGTTAGTCCACTCTTGTTGTCAGTGGCCCCAAAAATGTCATGACTAAATTTGGTGGGAATTTGTATCCATGGCCAATAGATTGCCCCTAAATGGTGACATTTTGCTCCTGAAATGTCAGACAGTGCAAATAAAATGTTCCTCTCCTCTCATTTGTGTGACCAGTAAATTTGCAGATTTTTGTTGTTGTTGAATTGACAAATTTGAATGGTTTTTTTTTAGTTGCTGACAAACTTTTGCTTCACAAGTCAGCCCATTGATCAGTGATAAATAGTGAAACTGAGCCGAGTGAATATTTACTTGAGGGTGCGCCCCTAAATTTTCGACTCGTGTTGGGCCCCTAAAATTTCAAATTAGGTGTCACCGTGTTCTTCAGAAAAATCAATTAATTAAAAAAAAATAAGTAAAACTTCTCTTCTTCTTTTGGTTTCCTGGAAATTGATGGTTTTGGAGCTACGAAAATTTTACCCGATGCCAGCAATATGTTAAAAACAGGGCTGCCGATGAACGATTTAGAAAAATAATAAAATTGTGTGGGTGGGGGGAGGAGGTCTTTTTTCTCCACACTTCAATATGGTGATTGTAATTTAACGTGATCATTTTTTTTCAAGGTACCCATCCCATGTTTTTATTTGAAACAAAACAATAAATTGTTGTTTTGTTTTGTTTTTTTAACCAAATTGCAGCCTTTGCAATTTTCAAAATTTCATTCTACTAAATTGCGATTTCAAGTTGATTCATCGTTCAAAAAGTGAAGACAAATTAGCATTGTTTTTTTTTTTTTAATTTTCATACGTTGTGCCGGGGAAAAAAAAAAAAAGAGTTTGAAGTCCTTCCTTGAAAATGTGATGTCAGTGTCGGCCAAGAACATTGTGGTCCTTTTGCATGTTGGGACGGCTCGTGGTGGACTCCCAAATGATTTTTTTTTTTTCTCATTTTTGGATCTCCTTAAAAATGTCTATGCAGTTGCCGAGGAGCTGCAAAGCCTCAAAGCAGCTTCAAAGGTGCTTCACCTTGTGAAGGGCTGTGAACTTTCACCGTCTCTGGAGGTTTGTTCAACTCTTCTCCTCCACATGTCTGAATCCGTAGCTGCCATCCTCTCATATGATTCAAGTGAGTCAAAGGAGAAAAAAAAGAAAAAAAGGAAAATTTGCCCCTCCAAAAAAATCCCTTTTTGTTCCTTCAAACTCTTGCAGGTGTCTCAGAATTATTTTGTCATCTTTTTCCATTGTTAGATTTTCTGCTGAGAACATTTTTCCACTGCACACTTGAGATATTTTGAGGTTTGCGGCTTCTTTTTTTTTTCTGCGTCATCATATTTAATTTGTTGTCCTACGGGGCATTTTTTTTTTGAGTTGCTATTAAATAAGAGCCTTTGAAAATATGACCAACTCCATAAAAGCGGGACCTTGCCTTGTGAACATTCAAACTGAAAGTGTTGTTGAACAAGTCAAATCCCCCCCCCCCTGGTAAACAAAGTATGAC